ATATATACTATAAAGATAAATAATATTATCATACTTATAATATTGTTCTTGACTACATTGACAAAGGTAGTTTGTCCCGCGCTTCACCTGAGGATTGTCTCTCGCCAGGTTTTTATTTACCGCACGATCCTGTAGTGCGTAGTGATAAAATAACCACCAAGGTTCGTCCCGTGTTGGACGGTAGAGCCAGGACCGACACTGGATTATCACTAAACGATATTCTACACACCGGTTGTAATCTACAGGTGGATATATTTCACATTCTTTTGAATGTCCGCATTTTTTACACGGCCTTTTTTGCAGACGTGAAACAAATGTATTTGTGTATTTTCACAAATGTTCCGCACCGAAACTATCAACGAATATTATACCGGTTTTTAAATACTGATCCGCTTCAAATTTTTGAATTTAATCGAGTAACGTTTGGGCTTCGATCTTCCCCATTTCTGGCGCTCCGCACGTTACGACAATTAGCTAGTGACGAACGACACAAATATCCAAATGCGGCCACGCGTACTAGAAAGAGACGTGTACATGGACGATTTAGCTTCTTCCGCTTCTTCTTTCGAGGAAGCAATCAAGATAGCTGACGAGTTGATCCATCTCTTGAAAGCTGGTGGGCTCGACTTGGTTAAATGGACTTCCAATTCACGCTCGAACACATACCCGTGTCACATCGACAATCTGAATCTATTTCATTTGATGATGGAAATACATTCAAGATTTTAGGTTTGCGCTGGTTACCCGCACAGGATACTTTTGTTTTTGAAGTTTCGAGACCCACCAATTTACACTAAATGCCCCATCCTATCTGCAACCGCACGTCTGTACGATGTTCTAAGACTAGTTGGACCTGTTATACTTTACGCTAAATTGTTAATAAAGGAGCTTTGGCTTCTCCATCTTGATTGGGATGAAGTGCCCTTTCGCATCATTAATTTATGGCAAAAATATTTGAACGAGCTGCCACAGATTTCCCGTATTAAATTTCCCCGCCACTTGGGCATAGAAACCGGTTCTAAAGTCTCCTTAGTTGCGTTTTCGGACGCCAGTGAATCCGCATACGGCTGTGTAATATATACTTACATGTTGTTAATGGCAATCAGTCGACAATCGTTACACTTGTGTGCTCGAAATCACGAGTTGCGTCCGCGAAACCTAAAATTACGCTCGCACCCTTAGAGCTAAACGGAATTCTGCTACTCGCTCGACTTCTTAAAGAAGTTTATGGCACATTGTCAATTAGATATCAAATTGATGATATTTTCGTATTCTCGGACTCAGAGGTGGCTTTGTGTTGGTCGGTTGCTTCGCCACACAGGTTTGATACATATTTTGCCAACGGAGTTTCGCTAATTCAAGCAAATATTTCTCTTAATAATTTGTATCACATTGCAGGCTCCCAAAACATTGCCGATTGTATATCACGCGGGCACACGCCCTCGCAATTCCTTGCGGATGAGCTTTGGTTTCGAGGACCTGCTTGGCTTTCTCTGCCAATAGAACATTGGCCTATACAAAAATTTGTACCGAACCGATCGTCGTTACCGGAGGGGACAACTGTTTCTCATGTGAATACTACAGTTACTAATAATAAAAATCCGATTATGACGCTCGCCTCACGATGCTCTTCATGGACCAAGCTTCTTCGAGCTACTGTTTATGTTCTTAGATTTATTAAAACGCTCCCGCGAATTGAAATTATTCGCGTCGTACAGGCTGCACATTTTTTCGAGGACATTGAAAATATTTAGAAAGGTCAACCGTGTTCACCTAAATTACGAATATTATTTCCTTTTCTTTCTAATGGCTTGTTGCGCGTCGGTGGTCGCCTGTCGAACTTGACGTTAGATTATTCTTCGAAACATCCGCTTTTGTTACCTAGGCAGGGACACATTGTTGAACTATTAATTTATTCTTATTATCGTGATAATTTTCATATCGGACCGCAATTATTAATTACTATATTGAGGTCTAAGTATTGGGTTCTTTCTGCTCGTCGTATTGTGCGCCAGCGCATACATAAGTGCAATATTTGTTTTCGATCAAATCCAAAACGTACTTTCCCACTTATGTCGGATTTACCTAAGTGTAGATTAGAGCAATGTAAAGCATTTCTACACACAAGTGCAAACTACGCAGGACCGCTTTATATCACTCCTTATCGGAGACGCGGCATCCGCAGCGTGTAAGCTTATTTGTGTCTTTTTATTTGTCTTGTGACAAAGGCAGTTCACCTTGAACTTGTCTCTAATTTGAGTTCTCCTGCGTTTATTGATGCTGTTAAACATTTTATATCGCGACGTGGTCCTAGTCATTTCCTTTACAGTGACAACGGAACAAATTTCATAGCCTCCAGGGCTTATTTCAACAAACTTCATGAATTTTTACTTTTGGAAGATTACTATCGTGCTTTCAGTAATGAACTTTCAAAAAACCGCATCACGTGGCGAATGAATCCTCCTACAGCCAGTCACTAAGGTGGCATTTGGGAAGCGAATATAAAAAGCGCTAAATCGCTATTGTTTCGTGTAATCATAAAATAGAATACGCCATCAAACCCAATTACCTACTGTTGGTACTGTGGTATTATTGAATGTAGAGAATGCTCCACCCTTGCAGTGGCCTTTAGGAGTTATTACGTGTTTATATCCTGGTAAGGACGGAGTTATACGCGTTGAGGAAGTAAAGTCGAAAGCTGGCACGTATAGACGACCAGTTGTGCGGCTGTGCCCGCTCACAACTTAGTAGATTTGTTTCATGTTTGTTTTTATGTTTAAACCGCTTAGTTTTAAGGTTAAGGTTTAGATTTAATTTATCTTTTATTGTACTTTTAATAGCACAACTGCTGTGCTCCGCATTTAGTTGTTAAGTAAGACAACTTCTTTTTTTTTCGAAGGGTTCCTTCAAACCCGGGGGATATTGGATTTCATATTTTCTTTTTTTTTGTATTAAACATTTATCCGCTCACGCGATACATGCAGCCGTGGACGCATGCCGCCACAGAGCGTTGCGCGATTCATGCGTCTCTGGAAGCACAACACACCTAGAGGTACTGGTGATGATTTAATACCGATTTATCGGATATCGAAGTTCTAACAGGTAAAAGAACTAATATTGATTGCTATTTCGGTAACTACTCTAGCAAACCATAAAGTTTTTAATGCCTAGGTCTGTCATATAAAAAAAATAAACAATTTCAAAAAATACATCACGACAATCGTGTGTGTTATAACAACTAGACTAGACTAGAATAACACATTACGTTTTCATTACATGCAGGATTCATTGATATTTCCGAGTTTCGTAATTTTGTATGAAAAAAGCTGGCGGATACGGCCGCCCAGTGACAGCCATCTTTAAAAATAAGGCCGGTTACAAACCCATTTGTATTTGATATTTTTTTGTAAAATGGGTGATTAAATTTATGTGTAAAATAAAAGTTCATACTTCTTATAAAAGCATGTAAATAAAACTACACTCAAAATGCTAGGTAATGTGAGCTTTACGTAAAAAAATTATTTGTTTTTAGTGGTGGGTGTTCTTTGTCGTGAAATTCTCGATCAGGAATAAATCACACTATATTTTCCATTCTGTCTTACTTAATTATAATTTCCACGCTCCTAAGCGTTGATTCACACCTTGGAGACGCTACGCGACACGGCGCGACGC